GCTGTCACTCAAAAAAATTGAATGAAGGCCAATTGTGACTGTTTAACCATTTAAATGTCAACAAAATCGTCTTTCCAGAGAGGTTAATGTGCTCTCACATTTTTTCCCCCATAATGTCAATACAATACAATATATCTTTATTTATATCGCATTTTTACAACAACTGCAACAAAGCACTTTACAAAACAGTTGACATAAAATAAAATAACACAACATGGACAGTCATGCAATCTTAACCGCTTTTCCTGCATACGCTTTGTTGTTTGAAGCAGTGCTTGATGAAAGAGGAGAGAATCAAAGTGCCCTTTTACCAGTGCATCAGAGACGTCATGCTCAGAATGCGAACACGTCTGCTAGTTTGAAAGTAAATCAGAAGCTGTGGCGTCAATGGTTTTTATTATTTAATAAAGACGTTAAGGAAATGTTTTACACATCTTTTTTCACAACATGGATCATGGTGATTACGGTATCATCACCTATATCCATCTGCATTGTCCTCACGTTACCTTTTAAGATTTTTGTGTTAGGCCAGTGTGCTATTTCTGCCTGCCAGGCTATACCATTCAAACCCTTCCCCCATTTTTACTTTCAAATGATGCTCACCTGAGCCTTCCTTGTGCTGCTGTTGAGCAGCAAGAGGACAGGAAGCAACGTTGCTTTTGCCGGGACATGAGAACTGTCCGAAAAAGAAGACAACTTAGTTTGTAGCAGACGTGTGCACATTTTCAGCATGACGTCTTTGATTCACTGGTGAAAGGACACTTTGATTCTCTCCTCTTTCATCTGGAACTGCTTCAAACAACAAAGTGTATGCAGCAAAAGTGGTTAGGATTGCATGACTGTCTGTGTCTTATGTGTTGTGTTGTATTATTTGTCATTTTATGTTAACTGTTCTGTTGCTGGTGGCGCGGGTACCCACAGCGGCTCCTCTCTCTCCTGTGGTTGAGAGGAAAGAAATTTCATCTGTTTTGTATGTTGCACATAGAGCACATTTGACAATAAAGTTGACTTGACTTGACATGACCCAAATATTTCTGGTCGTGATCTAGGCTTTGTTGTACCACTTGAAATTGAGTTGGAACTTTTTGATATTTTCCATTGCGGTGACTCCACTATGATTCTAATCGCAAGCATAAATGAGGTAAAACAACAACAAAAAATGACATTGTGTGTCTTTGGATTTATGAAAGCACTATACTGAAAGTATGTTGAAAAAGTTAAATGTACTCCTGTGCACTTGACAGTCTGAGTGTACTCTGTACGGGAGAGTGGGTTAAATTCCAAGCCTTGTCCTGCACCTGGAGATAAGCTGTTTCTGGTTTGGCTTCTCTATTAATTATCTTTCATCTTGTGAGGAAAAAAAGAAAGCTCTTTTCCAAGCCCGCTGGCTATGGAAAAACAATTAAACTGGTTTAAATTAGTTGCCCCCTCCCCCGGTCTCCCTTCCATCCCTTACATTGTTGTCTTTCTTTGTGCCTCAGAGTTTTGATCTCAGAGGATACATCTTGTTTCAGTACCTCCATGACCATTCAGAGTTCATTGGGGTTCAGCCTGGGGTTCATGGCAGGTTTAAGGCCTCTAGGTCTGCTTGGATTCTTACTGGGGTTTACACATCTGTTTGTTTGTTAGTTGCTTTGGTGAATGGGTTGATATTTTTGATATGTGGAATTTCCCATCTCTTACTATCCTGACTGATGATGACCTTCGTCACATTTTGTTCCTTACTCTGTGCACCATTGTGGTTTTCTGACTTAAATTGTGCTACAGAAAGCAATTGCCTGGAGGGAGCCCTCATCATTTGTTCCACTCTTGCTGGAAGATTTCCAGTGCTGTTTATATGAAACCTCAATCTTAACAATCAAGAAGCCTGCTTGTCTATCAAAGACTATACGTTTTTCCGAGAATATCTAAACTCCAAAAACTGCAGAAAAATCAGTAATGGCATGGCAGAATAATCTATTGGGCCATCTCTCTTTTGTATGTAACAGTAATGTTAACAAATGGAATCAATCCTCATGAGCTATTATTGTGCAGAAAATACTATTGTTATCTGCCTACAGGGGCTCGAGTGATTTGTGGCAGTGAACGTTGTAACCTATGTATTGCAAATGTTTTAAGGTGGTCCAACGTTATATTGTAAGCAGAAGAAATGGCATTCTCTACTTTATGAGGTTTTGACATTTCACATAACATGAATACATTACATCCGGGGTGCCCAAACCTTTTGGACCGAAGATCGACTTTTCAATCAACCAACCTCCCGCGATCGACCCGTTACCGCGCACGCACAATACACACGTACGCCATGATGAGCAACACGGAGGCATGTGACGCACTTTTGCAGCCTGTCTAACTAACTATCGTAGCTCACACGTACCGTTTTAAAGTGCTTCCCTGGGCCCTCTAGATTCCTATTCTTTGCTCGTGCCCTCGGTGAATTGTACATGCAACAAACTCTGAATGAGAATAATGATAACGATAAAAGATATAGCGTAACAGCTCTGATCACAAGCTGCAATTGCAGACTGCTGAGCGCTAGCAACTTTCAGTGATGGCAATGGCGAGTGATGAAAAAAGAAGAAAGGGGCGTGGCCTGGACGGGGCGTGGCATAGATGGGTGCGAGGCCGGGACGGGGGCGTGGTTACTTACAAAAGTGGCACTAAACATGCTGAAGATGAAGTGTATTGAATGTACACACTATTTGAAACTTGAACAGAAAAAACTCCCAAGATTGCCACTATTCTTTCAAGTGAAAATTTGTGCAATTTTGCTTATGCATTCCTGGTGAGCACCAATATGTAACTCCAAATTTGCTGCTCAAAAATAAAAAACTAAAAAAGGAAACACATCCCCTGCCATATTTAAGATTTGTTCATCACTCTCTTTTTAGCCAACTCCTCTTGTTCTTACACATGCTCCACTGTCGAAAAGCGCTTGAGATCGAGTAGTTACTTTTCAGTAGAAATGTCTGTTTTCGGTGTTTCACCAAGGTTGCGTGAATCTGTAAAGCTTTCCATCCTCTCGATCTGTATAAAATGACATCGTCACACACTGTACACAGAGCTTTACTGGCGACATTGAGCTTTTTCCCGACATCCGACACAAGCACAATGGTTGCTCTTTACTGTTTCCTACTGGGGACACCGTCAGCTTTCTATCCAACCAGTCCCATCGAAACGTGTTTTTCAGATCCGCATCTATCTGACGCATTTTAGCTTCGTCGCGAGTCTCGATAACATTCGGCATTCGCGAGAAAAGGGGTTTAGGAAGGCGAACATGGATTGGTTGTGATTTGCATTTGCCGATATAGCGACCAATCACAACAAGTAAGACATCATACATGTCCAATCGCAGGGCTGTTTACAATCGGAAGATGGAAAGACTGATCGGGAGGAGAGCTCGTGAAAACTCGATGATAAGGCACCTGACACCCCCTAAAATTTTCTCAACGGATTTAGACGATTCACAAAAATAATCAATTTAAGAAATAAAACGGCGGATTTCCGCGTATCTGCGGAAAATTGCCATCACTGAACTTTAATACTTTTTGTGAAAATGAAACTGATAGGATGATTAGGGTGCAGTGTATTAACACGAAAAATATATTACTAACATACGCAAAGACACACAAATGGTTGTTTTTTTTCCTCCTCTATACACCTCGCAATCGACTTGGGACCGGTCCATCGCGATCGACGTAATGGGCACCCCTGCATTACATGAATGTTATTGTCAAACACCCTTGATGAGACAAGCAGAAAGTTACAACAGGTAATATCATGGTAAATTGTATTCAATATTGGAAATGTTTTGTGTCTACGTGCTATGCGTTACACCCCGACCAAAGCTACACTCATCTCCACAAGTATTGAAACTGTGAGGCCAAGTCTTTTTGTTTTTGGTGTAGATTTTCAGTTTCACATGAAAGATGAATATGAAACAAGCAGAGATGGGGGAGTCAAGTCTTGTGACTTGACTTGAGTCGGACTTGAGTTGCCATTTTTAGGACTTGCAACTTGCTTGCCGAAAAAACTTTGCAACAATTTTACTCGACTTTGGTATCAAAGTGACTCAATCTGATTTAGACTCGAACTCCATGACTTGAGGAGTCAGCCATCTTGTTTGTCATTTGAAATCTGAATTTTAACACAGTTTGCCTTTTTAGGAAGGAAGACAAGAAAGAAAGAAAAAGAGGGTTTTTGTTTCATTCATGCCAACCTGACAAATCAGTCAGCAGGTTAATTGTTGGTGTGAAGGGCTGACATAAGCATCAACAGCAATGGGAGCATCTCAGAGGATCATTGATTTGAATTAATGGATTATCTTGTTGATGGCGTGAGCAAAAATATGATGCCAAAACGCATCGCATGGGCGAAATGGTCAACATGTTGGAATGCAGGTCAACAAACAAGTCAGAACTCAGGACATCTTGTCAGTTTTCAGAGGCCTTTTATTGTGAAATGCAACATCAGATCTGTATGGGGGCGGTCTGGTTGGATACTTGGGGTGCTCTAGTGTCCTACAGACCTCGTTTGATTGAGGGATAACTGAAATTCATTTTTAAATAATCCTTTGAAAGAAGAAGACAAGGTCAAGATGTCATATTTCAGAGGCATTTTAATTTGAAATGGAACATTAGATCTGAATGCCAGTACTGTGGTTGGATACCCAGGGTGCCCTCGTGTGTCGACAACCTGGTGTGATTGGGGGATAACTAAGATTCGTTTTTTCATGATTTATAAATATCAGGTGAAATTGATGTAGAATAACCCTTTATTTTCTATCTCAACTTGAGAACGCATCTTGGCGCTTTTCTGAAATTTGTTATTCTCCCTGGATGACCTTGTAGTTGTTCGACAGCCAAGAATTGACTTTATAACATTTTTTTAAACCAAACCACTGACGTGCATGTATTAGTTGTAAGGCTTTTATTTTGAAGGTAGTCAACGCCGCTCGCTGGCGGCAAATTACCGTAATGCACAGTATTGACAATCGTAGTCGCGGCTCACTTGACTTAAATTTTGCGAGTGGAGCCTGGTTTGACCGCAGTTCTGAACTGGTTAACTAGCGTGCGTAGTACAGCACACTAGTAGATTATCGGGAAAACACACAAAAAAAAAAACTCGCCTCTAGGCTGCAGTTTTCAATCATGTAGTTGTGGTGCACGGTGCTCCGGTCATCGCTTGAAAACATGCAAACCTCTTCCAAAAATGTTAAAAGCGGTTCATGTATACAAAAGTTCACCAAGACTTTAAAAAGGTGCGTGCGTGCATGAGTGCGTCCACTGCACGTGCCAAATCCACAAACTCAACATTTCCGCTGGGAGCAAGCATGGAGGGTGCGCGCATCCGTGCCACCACAGTGGAACATTAAGCCAAGAAGAAAGAAGCGATTGATTGCTCATGTTGGTTATTGTTGGGCTTTTCTCGCGGAGCAGCACTCGCAACACAACGTCGCGTCCCGCTCCCCCCAAAATAAAATATCATCCCTCTTGCCACTCGAAGACTACTCTTCAGTAATATTTCATCTGCTCACACACGAGAGGGAAATCAATTCCATCACGAAGTGAAGGAGGTCACAGCTGGTTTCCTCCAACTCGTGACAACCATGGATGTCGCAACCGAGGAAGGGATGTCTCTGTCGGGTATCCGACTCCGGAATTGTCCGGCGCAAGTGATGGCCAAGTTGAGGAAGACGAAAGCAAAGAGGAAAAGGCGGAAAGAGGTGCTTCTAATACAGATTTGCTTGTTCGGAGCTTTGCTACTCGTCTTCAAGGGATTCTCCTTCTTGGCTGACGGTTCAGGTGAGAATGGAATGTTTTTTTTTCCTTCCTCTCGCAGTGTGCGATGAGACATGAGTATCATGTGTGGTGAAATGGGTTCCGACCCGTTGTTATTGAACAATGGTAGTTAACATTATACTCGTTAAAAGGTTGTTTGTTCAGCCGTGTAGAAAATGGTGGAATGGATAATTGGATAATATATAATTGGAAATTGCTTAATTCTCATGTCTGATGTGAGTTTTATAATGAAAATCATTATGATCTTTTTTTTTGTATGAAAAATGAGAATTCACTTTTAGGGGTGAATAATGAATGGGCTTTTAGCCCTTCTTAATTTTACAAAATATGCGCTGGCGAAATGCGTTCCCAGAAGTCCCCAACAAATACAGGTCGGGATAGGTCGAGATGACCATGACTGTGATGCTCCTTAATAAATTGGCTCCTGCAGTATTTCTTTTGGCAGAGTTGTACACACAGCAGCAGCATCTGTTTTCAGGATGAACTAACCGATACTGTTGTTTTGCTGTAATGACGGAGGAACAACTACACACAACCTGCTTTTCTGAGAGTGTGGAATTGGAACTTTAATACAAAGCAATAAAGAACACTGTTACGTAACAAACATGCATGCAATACAGTAGCAACTTACTATCTCCAGTTTCCAAACCTTTTCTTGCACCCATCTTAGAAAAATGACATGGCACATCACCATATAAGAATGTCACAAAAAAATGGGAATTCTGAAATGATGATCTCATCTCAGTTTACTCACAAGTTGACCTACTAAATGTAAAATATGAGCTTGTTTGAGCACGAAGCTGATCCAGTATATTGCAGGAAGCATGACTTCTGCAGTTGTATGAATGGCAACGGATGGATACACAGGCAATTGAAGCGCATTTAGTTGTTCTTCCTGCCACTACACGTTGCTGGCATCGGTAGTCAAACAAAGATATTATTGCAATGAAAAGTGACAAATAACGTGATAATTTCCTCCAGCACCAGTGATGATCTCTCTTTGCACACCCGGTTGAGAATCACTGGTATACTGTATAGTAGCTAGTAGTGTTGCACTAAGCACTGTTACCAGTAGCCTATTGTACCTACCGTGAATTTTAGTTGAAAAATTACACAATACCATAATTCTATAATACTGTACTTGGGACTTGTATTTGAATATCCATCTATCCATCCATTTTCCGAACCGCTTCATCCTCACCAGGGTCGCGGGATGTGCTGGAGCCTATCCCAGCTGACTTCGGGCAGTCGGCCGGGGACACCCTGAACTCGTTGCCAGCCAATCGCAGTGTATTTGAATATTTGTTTTATTATTTGTCATAAATATACTCAACCTTTGTGGTTCATCGATAAAAGGAAGTGGATGACAACAGGAATAAACAATGACAAGACTCTGGTTTGACACGAAACACCAAGTGTATTCAAAGACAGTAAGACATTTCAAAGTCACACAGAAAAAAAGAACTCCATCGTTAATAGGTACGGAACACAGCACTAAAGAATGTGGGCTTTGTAACAAACCGTAAAAGCTAACATACAAGAAGATAGTCATCCATTTTCTGAACCGCTTTATTTATGACGAGGGTTGCGGTTGTGCTGGAGCCTATCCCAGCTGTCTTCGTGCAGCAGGCGCAGTATACCCAATTGCCAATATGATGCTATTTTACTTCATTACAATCAATGGCATATCCGGCGCTTGTGTTCCAATTCCTAATCAAATAACTGCACATTCTTTCCTCCATTCTGCATGTTTTCCGAGTACAGTATTACTGGTTGGGATGTTACTGGTTGGGATGTCAAGCATGAAATATGAGAGAGTTTATACTACCCAAAGGCTGACATAATAAAAAAAAATCTTTTGTCACCCTAATATTTTTCTACATACTGAATAAAAATACAAATATCAGTTAGTTTGTAAAAACATTAATTGTTTCATATTCATTTGTTCGAAAGTGTTTGAAAGCAAAGTATTCAAATGTATCCCGGTAGTATTTTTTATTTATTTTTTTACCAATACTGTACATATAAAATGAATTTGAAGTTGTTTACTGTATGTGTCAGACATTATTTCACAGTTTTTTACTGATGTTTTTATGTTTTGCTGTGGTCTGAATCTGGGCAGTGAGCCATTTGCCGTATGCCTAAAACTTTTGTTCATGCTATTGCTCAATGTTTCGCTCCCTTTCACTAGATTGATTTTATTTCAGCGCTGCAGTAACGTTTATGTCAAACCATTCATCTCACTAAAGCACCCGAACATAATCAAATGAGCCAGTGACGATAAATAATTGCAGACATATGCACCACTTCACTTGATGTGCTCATTTTCCCTTTCATTTGTTAATATGCCACTGGAGCCCAAGGCTATTGAGTCGCAAGAACAATAATTTATCATTTAAATGAAAACAGGCGAGAAGATGGTATGTTTTGGTCGTCAGCAGTTGGAGCAATTTTTGGTGTGTGCCTCAGACCTGGTTTAATTGAGATTATTTAAGATAAGATAACTTATGAGTCTCTCAATGGAAAATATTGCATTTGAATGCATTTCAAATTGATTAGGATAATAAAATTATGGAACCTCACTTTAACAGACTAAATTGTGGGAAGAGGTCATCGGCTGGTTGTACTTTAAATTGAAATATACTTTTTCATGCTTTAAAAACACCCGATACAGTTAAAAATGATTTCGTTTTTTGTTTGGTTTTTTTTTTCGTGGGAAACTGAAAAGATTAAAACTTTATGCGAACTTACCTCGCTGGTGCTCGGGGTGTGGAGTGGGTGATAGTGGTGTGCACTTGTTGGCTCATGCCGTGATGTTAGTGCACTTGAGATAAGGGCTTGACAAAAACGGCAAATGTGTACTGTACCATGTTCAAGAGACGTGTAGGTGTACTCGTGCTGGACAATATGGTAAAAATCTTCAATCATGATATAGGCCAGGGGTGGCCAACCAGTCAGAGACTAAGAGCCAATTTTTGTACTGTGTTACTGCAAAGAACCACATCTCACAAATGGGCATCCCGTCCTCGCGCGCGTGCGCGCGCGCGCACACGCACACGCACACACACACACACACACACACACACACACACACACACACACACACACACACACACGCGGGTGCCCAATCATGCACTGGCGCACATATGCACGCACGCCACGATGAGCAACAGCCGGAACAGCCCAAACATGAACGAAAGCTAAAGATGCAAACACACAAATCTTTTTTTTCCCCATCCATTTCCTCCTCCCACCCCTTGTGGTCGACTTGGGACCAGTCCGCTACCTCCCGGTCGATTGTGATCGGCGTATTGGGCACCCCTGCTATAAAATCAGAGGTAATTTGCTGACTATCTTAGCGCATAGTGCCGTTGTTTGCGCATGAGCGGTGATTCAGTCATCTGATTGGTTGCTCTCTATGTCAATCAAGTAACGGGATTGATGATAGGCTGACGTAGTGTGTTCTGTGTATTTAGCGCCTTTGAATGGCAGCGCCACTGTCGAGGCGTTTTCCGAAAACACAAGTGTCGAAAACGGTTTTCGACGCTTGTCGTGTGAAAGCCCGGGAGCCGCATTGAACTGGCCAAAGAGCCGCATGCGGCTCGCGAGCCGCGGGTTGGCCACCCCTGATACAGGCCATTTTATAACAAGATACACCACAATACATGTATTTGTTTTCAGTGAATAAAAATTATGCAATATACTATGACTGCTTACCTCTTCTTACTTTATTTCGAAGCAACATTGAACAGACCTGTATCAAATGAGAAATGCATCTAGTTGTGCTGCTATATAAAATGATCACATTCAAACAAGCAAAGTGTACATCAAATTTAGCAAATGTAGATTTCAGTCTAAATATTTCTGACAGAAATTGATTAAAAATTAAATACCAGTAAATGAAAATATGAGCTTTGCCACGACATTCAACAATCTCTTGCGAACCAAGGGCTGAGTGAAATATCTTTATTGATTCAGGTATGATTTAAAACATACATCATTTTGGCCTGGTTTTGAAAAAGTTTGTTTTTGGGCTCTCATGTCACACTCCTAGACCACACGTTCTTAGAACCATCCAGGGACAAATTAGCACAGAAGGACACTTTAACCTATTTTGCCGTTCCCTCCTCCGTCCGCGACCTGGATTCCCTTCCGTCATCATCCCTCCGCCTTATTCATATCATGATCATCCTCCGTCCCCATCCGTCCTCGTCCATTTAATTCGCCGCCCCCCCCTTACCCCCTGCCATGAGAGAGGCTAACAGCAGAGGCAGACCCGAGCCCAGCCTTCAGAAGGGCACATGAAATGCTTGGGGGCAGGAGGGATGCATACCCCACAGACAGCACTTACTATGCTCCATATATTCGCATAGCACTGCTGATCTAATCCGCCTTTTCCGACAACCGCAAGCAAGTATTATCATCAGCGGCGATACTTGCCTTTTGAAATTTGAAATGAATGAGTTCCCAGAAACATAATTTTTTGTCTCAAAAGCTGTTGTGCATTTCCTTGACAGAGACTCTCCACACTTAACTTTTTAGCCATAGGCACATTTTGTCGCTGTTAGGTGGAAACGTCGCATGTCCAAAATGCTGGTCTGCTTGGTCTGTCCTCATGTCGACTGATATTTTTACACATTATTCAGCAATTTAAAGTGTTGACAATAGAAAAAAAAATCTCTTGAACTGTCAACTGTGATAATAACTCCACTTCCTGACTTTGGAGGCGCCCTGCAACATAATGTTTCCTCAAGTTTCAAAGTCTGGGATGTTTTAGATAATAATACGTGAACATGATTATGTTAGAGACATTGGACTAAGTATGTATTGTGAAAAATGAATTGCTGTTATATTTCAGTGCAGAAGGAACTGGTCGCCATGAAGGTATGTTCAGACAGATTAATTTCCGCCCCATTAAACTGCTAAATTATCCTCTAGTTTTATTTATTGTTAGTTTGTGAAGATGATGTATTCACAGTCGTTTGTCACTTTTGTGAAACATGATTGGCGTTTTGTCCAGTCTGGGGGTTGGCTTAAGCACGAATGTTGAATTTAAATGAGCTACTGAACATGATTTTGGGGAAAAGTATGTTAATGTTGATGCGCAACGTTATGGGAGAAACATATAAACTGCGACATTAAACCATGCAGTGTATGGTGTCTTTTTTTTTTCTTCTGTTTTTGCCTTCTTAAGATAGATACAGTACTGTAAATCAGGGGTCCCCAACCGCCGGTCCGCGGACCGGTACCGGTCCGCCGGGCATTTGGTGCCGGGCCGCACAGAAAGAACTTGCCTTAATTCAGTTTTATTTCGGAATGCATAAGATGTTTTATTGAAATTTCATATACCCATAAAGCGGTCCAGTGGATAGCGAGTCTACCTCAGAGTGCAGAGGTACCGGGTTCAATTCCAGCTATGGCCTCCTTGTGTGGAGTTTGCATGTTCTCCCTGGGCCTGTGTGGGGTTTCTCTGGGTGCTCCGGTTTCCTCCCACATTCCAAAAACATGCATGGCAGGCTGATTGAACACTCAAAATTGTCCCTAGGTGTGAGCGTGAGGGCAGGTGGTTGTTCGTCTCTGTGTGCCCTGCGATTGGCTGGCAACCGGTTCAGGGTGTCCCTGCCTACTGCCTGAAGACAGCTGGGATAGGCTTCAGCACCCCTGCGACCCTTGTGAGGATAAGCGGATCGGAAAATGAATGAATGAATGAATGAATATACTCATAAATGTGTATTTTGCTGGGCTCGAATAGCTGAAACTAGCGAGGCTAACCCTGATATATGAAGACTGTATCACCGGCAGTGGCGGGCCGTGCATTTCAACCTTAGGCCTTCAGTGACGTCACATACATACACAATATCGGCTCGTCAAGCAGCACTTAATTTCAGGAGCATTTAAAACCATCAAGTATGTATTTCCAATTAAGAGCAGGAAACTACATTTACAGATATTGTCAAAAATAAAAAGATGATTTAAAAATACGAAATACAATGCCACCCAAATTACGCTG